CAAATTACTGTAGCAAAGTCTCTCTGGAATTTTCAGAGTTTTAGTGCAATCTGGATTCCTATTGACCTCCAAAACTTATTTGATGTCCCCTATGCAAGTGAGTAGTTTTAAATGTTTGCATAGCAGCGTACCTCACCCTGCAGGACCATTTGGGACGATGAATGTCTGTATTATTACTGTTGCCTCAGGCCTTCATCTCCTGTATCTCCATCGCCGACCTGTTCTTCCCATTAACCTGATGATCAATACAGACTTTTCTCCCTGTGCCCACATGTAGTCAATGGTCAAAGCCTACTGATTCTGCCTCCCAGCATTTTAGTCTCTTCCCCTCAGTACCCCTGACATCAGGAATTTAATTGTTACTACTGCCCCCAGTCTTCTTCCTCAAGCTCCTTCAGCAATTCTGTTGTCTTCTATTAAAATCCAAACACCTCCAGGGAAACTCCTTTAGGATGTGGCAACTGCCTACCTCTCTCTCCTCATCTTTTGCTATTCCCCAACTCACATTCCAGGTACCAACTTCAATGAACCACCTGCAATTCTTCAGAAAATTTGAAGTACACGTGCTTCTGGGACTGTACACCTGCTGTTTGCTTTATATGAAATGGCCTTGACATTTTTTTTTTAATCCACTTGCTTTTTATTTCTCCCCTTGGGCATGAGTCCTTGAGGGCAAAGTCTATTTCTTCACCATCCATCTTCATTCCTAACAGACTGGATGGATACTGAGTGAATGCTACTGGATAAGCAAGTGAGTGTGAATGAACAAAATCTTCCTTATCACTTTTCATGGTTGTCTCCTTAGTCCCAGTTCAGGTTGACTGGTTTCCTTCCTTCTCGTCCTCCTTTGTTTCTCTTTTAACCATCTTTACATACCTCTGACTCAGGAATCTTTCTGAAGGACACCTCTGCGTCAGAAACCTCCAATGGCTTACCATTTCCTGCAGAATCCATTTCATGTTCAATATCATTTACGCCCTCTAGTGGTCAGTCTCAAGCAGCCTATCCAGCTGCATTCCCGTGTTTCTCCTTGCCCACTTCCAAACTCCAAACCTACCTCTTACCCATTCTTTTGTCACCCTCTGTAGCGTGCCATCTCTGTGGTTTTGTTTATGCCATACACTCATCCAGCTGTTTCCTTGCCCCAGTCACTGCCTAGTGAATTAGCAGTCAAAATGTTCTCTACTTCAGTCAGATTTAATCCTCCATTCTGTATCTTTCTATACCACTTTAGTTTCTTCCTCCATTATGGCATATATCGCACTCTGCTTTGTAGTACAGTGTTTCTCTTTTGTTTTATTTTTGCATATCTGTATTCTAATAGATTATAAACTCCCAGAAGGAAGAGCTGAATCAATTCAACCCTGAAAGCCACAGCCAAGCTAGGCTGGTGCTGTTCAGTGAGTACAGAAAGTGCATGTGCTTTAACTTCGGCAGACCTTGGTTTGAATCTTTATTTTGCCGCAAACAACTATGATCTCTTTCATTTCCTTTTCTCAGTTTTCCAGCTTGTAAAATGAAGATAATAATACCTAATTTGCAACATTATTATGCAGATTAAATGAAATAATTTATGTAAAGTATATAGCTTAATGCAATGGCCCATGGCAGAAATGCAATAAATGGTCATTATTATTGCTGCTGTTACTGGTACTATAGTAGGAACTCAGTGCTGGAAAAGGATATTGTTTGGTTTGCCTGAGCTCTTAGTATTAATGGGTTTCATTTAATTGTGTGGCTAATTTCTAGCTGAATATAACTGAAGCTAGAAATTACTCATTAGCCTTGCTGTTAAATATCTTTTTTTTTGGTTCTTTTTACTATCTCACAATCTTTTATTACTCATTCTGGTATTACAACATCTTCCTGGCAAAAAGAGTTGCTTGCTTTTTCAGTTTTTCCACCAACAGAGAGCCAGATCACTTCCAGTATTTGTGAAAAGAATTATTCAACCTTCAATCCTTTTTAACTCAACCTTTTCCATGCTATTTTGCGTGAGAATTAGGTGTTTGTGCTTATTATCAATTAGAGTTTCTTAGAATTGAAATTATGGGAAGATGGTTCAGTGTGGGGAAATACCTAATGTCTCTTTTCTCCTTTTCGAACTAAAATAATGATGAAATCATCAAAGAAAGAAAAAACTACCCAGATATAGCAACAAAAAAATGAAAAGAATTGATCATGTATACTTAAAGCATAAGCATCATCTTCCACACTGGTGAGAATAGATTAAGAAGTGGCACTAGAAATTGACCTAAGACCTGGCCCTGGCAGAGGAATGGCATATTTCCAGAGACCACGATACTGGAAGAGGAGAGGAAATCAGCTTCAGTTTCACCAGCCGATGATGATGATGATGATGGTGATGATGGTGGTGGTGGTGGTAATAGATAATATTTAGTAGGCAAATTGTCAGGCACTGTGTAAATCAATTAATGTTCGTTATCTCATCCAATTTTCATAAAATCCCTGTGGATTAGGTGTTGTTATTTTTATGTTCATTTTACAGATGAAGAAACTACGGTTTCAACGCAGTCTTTTGCAATGTCACATAACTTATAAAAGACAGAAGTGGGACTTAAACTGAGGCCAGTTTAACCTGTTGTCAGCGTTCTTAATCCAATGCTCTGCTCCTGAGGCTACAGACCTTCTTTCTGTAGGTGAGAGTGAGGCCAGGAACAGCTCAGGACCTCTTCTCTAGGCATGCAGTAGCTCTTGGTCAGAGCAGGAGCACCAACCAGCCTGACCACGCCTCCACTGGCTTTTATGAGGGGGAGCTGCAGATTGACAAAGGGAAAATTATTTGTAAATCCTTTAAGGCAGTGACACCATTTTAAGCTCCATCAGGAGGAGGAGGAAGATAGACTATATGATTTAGATACTATGTTTCCTGAAGTCAGTTTCAGTAGAGCACTCTGCCAGAAATTCCACTCCAGTGCATAGGAATTTTAGATGCAAAACCTAAGCTGAGGAGAGTAACAGTGTGGTTACAGTAGGTGTAAGTACCTCCTAGATCCTAGATGTGAGAGAAACATTTTGCTAATAATCTCCATCTGGCTATGAAAATGGCAAGATTCCATCCAACAACCCAGAGGAAGGAGTTCTCTAACCAGCCTTTGGGCTTTTTCCAGCAGGCCCAGATCCTGTTTGAACTTGGCCTTTCAGCAATTTTACTCTTAGCTTACCCCCTAGCATCCACAGCCCACCATTAGACATCCCATTAACATGCTATTACACAAATTCTCTAAGGTTTAGCAAAGTAATTACCCCAAGGAGTGAACAAACCCATAAAGTAATAAATGACCTCACTGAGATAGTTTACAAACAAAACAAGAAGTGAAAATATAAAACACACACCCACACCCATGCTAAACATGAAAGTCAACCTTACTACTGAAATTGATCTCCTATAGGTAATAAAAGCATTAGGTAATACCAAATGTCTATTCTTAGGGAAATAAAATAAAATATGGCTGCAATGAAATAAGGACAGAGAAGTGAAACTCTATAGCAAAAACAATAATCTACACAAATGTTAGAAGCAAATAACATATGTCATTGATTCTAAGACATACATCGTCACATTTTAACATCTCTGAAATGAGAATTTGTTAAATGATAGCCTCTGTCAAATACTTTTACTTAAGCAACAGTGGTAATGTATAATGTCCCTTTTATAACATGAGAGAGAGAGTATCTTTCTCCTGGAATCTTCCTGGCTTTGGATCTCATTCAATAAAATCCAGGAACCTTACCAAGGACTGCGTGGCTCCATAAGACCTGATCACCCACTGCTTCTCTAGCCTCATCTCCTAGGACCTTCCCTCTTTTGTACTCTGCTGCATGCTACAGCCATTCTGGCCTCCTTATTCTCCTTGGACCACCCAGGCCTACTTCCTCCTCTAGGCCATTGACCCTGTTGTTTCCTCTGTGGGGAATGCTTTTCCTACTGAGAACCCCATGGTTCACTCTCATGTTGACTTCAGATATTTATTGAAATGACACTTTCTTATCTGGGCTTTCCCCTGTCATCTTATTTAAAATTGTGTCATCCTGACATTCCTATCTACCTTTGTGCTTCGTTTTTCTTTTTAGCATTTATTATCAACTGACAGTTCATATTTCATTCATCTTCCTTATGGTTTCTCTCCCCAATAGGAGTATAAGCTCTGGTAAAAGCAAGAATTTGTGTCTCTTATCTTCACTACTGAATCTCCAAGTCCTAGAAGAATGCCTAGTATAGAACGCTTAATAAATATATGCTGAATATATGAATAAATATAAGTGTATATAAAATGGGTATAAATATTTATATGAATATAAATATGACAAATACAAAACAAAAACTTGATGAATTACATACTCAACGGTTGGTGGGTGAGCTGGGGAGGAGTTGTAAATATCACACTAAGCCTGTCTAATGGAGCAGGGACTAGGTGTCAGGTGTCTTGAGATATAAACCTTCCTCTGTTACCAGTTGAGTGAAATTTGGCAAATTAATCCCCTGGGCCTCCAGGGCGGGCTACATGATCTGTAGGTATGTTATGTCAGTTAATTGAGCATTCTGCTATAAACAATTGAAAAATGATGACCATAAATAGGAAGCTAAAGTGAACGAAGCTACATCTTGTAACATAAATGTTATCACCACAAACAATAGTGGTAATGAGAGTATTACTGCAAAGTCATTTTGGGATGACTTGTAGTTCGATTTCCTTTGTTTTATAAATAGTGAAATTGAAGCCCAGGGTTTGAGAGACTTAGCCAAGATCAAGTGCTAATTGGTGGCAGACATCAGAACTCGACTCAACTTCTGTAACTGGATCCAGTGTTCTTTTTACTCTTAACTAGTTAGTACACGTGGTAAATACTGGTGATTTTCAAAAAAAAAAAAAAAGAATTCTTCTTAAGCTGTTTGGATATAATGTTCAGGTTGGATATGATGAATTCGCTTAGTGGCAAGAATACATGAGCAATTTTCTCTTTGTGATCTAATTCAGCTTACAGAAGAAATTGGAAAACTTGAAGATAAAGTGGAATGTGCTAATAATGCCCTGAAAGCAGATTGGGAAAGATGGAAACAAAATATGCAAAATGATATCAAGTCAGCATTTACAGATATGGCTGAGGAGAATATCCACTATTATGAGCAGGTAATTAGTGATATTTGATATTGCTTCATTTAAAAAAAGTTATCTTCTCTTTTACTTTCTATCTGTCCCGTGTTGAAAGAGTCTATTAAGGAACCAAGTGTCACATTCAGAAGTCCCTCTGGTGGCTCGGTGCCCGTGGAGTTGCCACTTAGTAGAGTAATGCTAAAACCATCCACTGAAGCCGGTGCGTTCATGTGGAGGGAGGATGGTGAGGTTTCCTTCTTAGACAGTGTGCGCCAAGTGCCTCCTTTAAGCTGAGCCTCACGTGAGAGAGAATTATGCTATGTTTTGTTTTTTCTGTTTTCCCCTTAGTTTCTTATTTTGCAAAGATTTGAATTCTTCGAAAGCACTTGGTAATTCTTCCCAATGAGTCTCCTATCTTATTTCCTTTTCCTCTCCCTTTCTTATATTATAAAGGGTTTGCAAAGTGAGGAAAGAAACAGGTTTGAGAGAGCAGAAAATCACTTCAGGGCTTGCACCCCGTGTCCCTGCCATCCCCACCTTGCCTTCTGTAGCTATTCCAAAAATCAACAAAGCAGCATGCCATTCTTTTTTTTTTTTTTAAGTTCAGTTTGGTTTAATGTTTAGTTCAGTTTTTTTTTTTTTTAGTTCAGGAAAGAGCTTAGTCATCATTTTGCTTTTCAAATTATTATTATTTTTTTAAACAACTGCCAGTTCCTCAAGGTAGTTACTATTTTAAATGAGTTTTATGTCATCACTTTTCATCCAGCATTTTCTAAACATTTTCTAGAAGATGTATTTTAAACATATATCTTTAACCTTGTTTCTGGCTGAATTAACGTGTGAAATTGGTACATTAGGAAAATTATTTTATGCTTATAGTCTATAAGGCTTATCAGTTTAAAGGTGCTTTAAAGTGGTGTATATTTTGAAAGATTGTCTAACTGATATTGATATTTTCATTCAGCAAGAGTTACTTGAGTCCCTGCTACCACCAGACAGTGTGCTGGGCCCTGGAGAGACCTCAGTCCTCAAGACAAACGCAGCCCCTTTCTCAAGTAGTTAGAGTCAGTGAGAGAAACAGTCAGTTAAAACAAAAGATTATAGTAAAGTATAGTAAGTTCCAGGATAGAAAGACATTGCAGGGGCATCTAACCTAATCTAGAAGGAATGAGGAAGCTTCTTCAGAGGATATGTTTAAGCTGAGATCTGAATGATGAATAGGAGGTAGCCAGTTAAAGATGTGAGAAAAAGGGGCCAGCCCCTGGCCGAGTGGTTAAGTTCATGTGCTCCCCTTCAGCAGCCCAGAGTTTCACCGGTTCGGATCCTGGGCGTGGACATGGGACCACTTGTCAGACCATGTTGAGGCGGTGCCCCACATGCCACAACTAGAAGGACCTGCAACTAAGATATACAACTATGTACCAGGGGGATTTGAGGAGATAAAGCAGGAAAAAAAAAAGGATGTGAGAAAGAGAGTTCCAGGCAGAGCGAACACATGCCCAAAAGCCTAGAAGAGAGAGAGCACGTGTTTAACCGAGGTTCTTTTTTGGAGGATGGAGGAGTGGAGGTGGTGTTGATTTGAAAAGTGAGACTTGTGGGGGAGGAAAAAATTTTCTTCCACCCTCTTAGGGTCTCTGGCTGGGTCTGAAAATTAAACTGCCAAAGTATATTAACAGGAGAAAAGCGTACAAGTTGATTTAAAGTAAGGTCTTTGTGACGTGGGAGCCTTCATGAGGAAATGAAGACCAGAAGAACAGACCTGAGTAGTTTTATGCTAAATTAGATGAAGAGTGGGAAATGGTCTAGAAATACGACAGGTTAAGGAGTATGAGGTAATTGTAATAAACTGGAAGAAACTTAGCAAACAGTTGTTTCTTCTTCTCCGTGTGCCTTTGTCTTCAGAGATAAGGATGCTCCTTTCCTCCCGTAGAGGGAGGGCACCTTTCACAGGAGGGTTGGATGACCTGCTTCTAGTGATAAGGGTTGGAGGAAGGTCAAAGTGACATTCCTGCTTCTGCCATTTTCCCAAGCTCTTTCAGCTTAAAATATTCAATATGCCAAGGTGCCATATTTTGGGGTAGCATGCCCTGAACCCCAGTAGCTGAAGAGGGCCTTGTAAGTTTGGTCCTTTATCTTTTCCTCTAAGGGAAATGGGAAATGTCATTGAAGAGTTTTCAGCAGAGAAGTGACCGTATCTTTTGGACTTGCCTTTTAGAAAGATCACTGTGGCTGTCTCTGGGTCAGCGTGGAGCAAAGCTGGATGTGATGAGACTGGTTAGGTGACCATGGTGGCAGCAAAGATAGAGATATGAACTGATAGAAACATTTCCTGGCAGTGGGCTGGAGACTGGTGAACAGATTCAAGTGTTTTATTTTTAGTAGGTGGGATTGGAAAAATCATTTCTACCTCTCCTTAATTTTTTATTCTACTTTAACAAACAGGTAAATCCAAGTATCTAAAAGGAATTTCACATAAATCTCAGATTTTCAAATAATTTAAAATATTTCTATTGAGTAAAGTACATTTGCCACCATAGACTTTATTGCCACGTAACTGTTTAAATCGACAGAAATACCTTTCCCTCTCCTTTACCATAGAACTTCTCCACACTGACATTATAGGATTGTTATGACAATCAACTGAAATAATTTATAAGAAAATGTCTTGAAAATTAGACTATACAATATATTATAAGTGATTATGATTGTAAAACATGACTATATTAGGGTGTAAAAATCACATGACAAATGCACCTGCTGTATTTTCCTTTAAATGAAAAGGTCTGCAAAACTTTTCAAAGTTTGGATGTTTTAGTTTTTTAAGAGAAAATGTTCATGGCAATTCCATGGAACTCCAACTGAAATTTTTGGGTTTTGACTATACCTATCACATGAATACATATTTTTGTCATTCTCATAGATTGAATTCAGTTTACGCAAACTGTTTTCTTAGAAACAGTTAAATTAGCATCGCTGTGCCATATTGCCATATTGCAAATTTTGTTCTTCACAGCAGTTTATATCAGTATGTTTTTAACTCTTTCCTCCAAGTGAATTATATTTCTAAATGTTACTAAAAATGTATCAGGTATATTACATCTTGGATGTATAATTTTTGGAGGAATCATTCGTTTTCTTTATTATAACTTCAAAAGACCCCTACAGCTCTAGTTATTTGTTAGTTTTTTCCTGAGTGAATAACTTTTAACTTTGGCATGTCAGCAGCATAATCAGGAAGTTGGAGCCCTTAAATAATCAAGACTTCCTAATTAGCACACAGACTGTGTGGCCTGAAACAGCAACAGTCTGCTGTTATCTGTTAACTTCAGAATATCTCAGATATACAGGGAAGTGATATGTTCCAGAATCTTTACATTTCCTTTTTAATTTAATCACACTCTTATGGAAAGCAGTTTTTTTTCTTTTCGTCAACATTTGCAAAGATAAATCTCCAAAGAGGTTTGTGCCTAGTGTGATAGATGAAATGGGGTATAAACATTTGCCTTTAGACTTACTTTTATGAAGTGAAATGGTCATAGCTTGTTTATAACTAAAATTTAAATATCAAAGTGGCAGAGAAAAATCAGTTCATAAATTTGAGATATAGGTCTGTATCAGAGGTCAATTATTCTCATATTGAAATGTTCATAGATGTGTGAATTTACTTGGAGACATTCGACACCAAGTATAAAACAGATATCTCCAGATAAACTTTGAATGGGTAAAATGATGTTTTTCCCATTTTATCCTATATGACCAGTAATTAAGAATCAATTTGAGTCTTCTTTTAAAAAACATGAATAACAAAATGATAAAACCAAAAGTCCGATTGAACATAGGTAAATAATTTAAAAGTATATAGGTGCCCAAATAACTGAACAAAATTATCTCCTGCTAAAATAGATGCTAAAACCGTAAGATAGAACGTGTTGGATAAAGTGCATGTACGTTTTCTAATTGTTACCTGGTAGGTGGAAAAGAGTATCTGTTTTCTTTCTTGTTGATACTGATGATGATGATGATGGTAATGATGAAGAAATTTGAAAGGTCGTGATCCTTGGCAGGTATTACAGATTGAAAGAATATACTCTTTGAAAGTTTAATTTTAATATTATAATCATGCAAATATCACGCAGTGTTAATTTTTGCCAAATAAAGCAGTTTATGTAATGTTATGTGAATGTAATACTTAAAGTAACATAATTTATTCATTTGCACAGTTTATTTTAGAATTATTACTGAATGGATAGAAGTCCTTTTTTCATAGTCTCATTTTTCTGGTTATAAGATTACTACATGCTCACTGAAAACAAAAACAACAAATTAAGTACACTAACCTATAAAGAAGAAATAAAGAATACCCATAACCTTTTCTCCTAGCAAGAGGTACATTTAAATAGTTATAGAGAAATAATTTGCTATGCTAAGATTAAAATATTTTTAAATTTCTGCATGACCCTTTCTGAATATGTCAACATAAAACCATATTTTTTGTGTGTCATGATGATTACAGTGGATATATATTATTTTGAGTTCTATATTTCTCTCTTGTTTATACTTTTCCATATAATGACATAATCTTCATATAATACATCATGTTAATATACTTTTATTAGCATAGATAACTACTAATAATTGAGCATTTATGTTATTTCTCTTTTTTTGCTCTCATCAATAATACTATTGAAAATAATTATGAACATTAGATTTTAAAAACTTTCTTAATAAGAATTTCAAGAAATTACCATGTCAGAAGTCACTTCATTTCAAATACTTCCAATCTTATTTAAGAGTGTCATTTACCTTATGTAAAATCATTCATTTAAGATTTTATTAGCATCAAAACCATGTGCCAAGCACTTTGGAGCATCCACATTCAAATTTAAATCTTGCCGTTAGGAGGTTACAGTTTATTAGGGGAGAATAATATGTATATATATTTTTCACTTGATTAATACGACTTTATAGTGTATTAATTTTTTTAATGGAGGATCATTTAGTTTTATTTACTTGAATTGTACTGAACAGACGTAATAGAAGGATTCTGTCCTTACCGAATAATACAAATACGTGTATCTACATGGAAATCTAGGAGGCAGAAAAACAATTACAGTGTAGGATATTATCTGGAAAATAAAAAAGGAAAGAAACAAAATCATTATAAGGGTACAGTATCTAGCCAAACGAATAATACAGCTACTGCTTTCCTAAAATCTGATTGCAGCTATTTATAGACCACTTAAAAATTACAGAAATTTTAACAAATTAGGCATCACAGCAGTTCTTCCACGTAATCAGTAGTGGATGAGCATCGGCTGTCCAGAAAGTTCTTCCAGTGTAGTTGTATTTATTGAGGAATTTATTCTTTGTCATGTTGGGGAATGGAAACATAAATTCTAATGAAACAGTTTGTTTTAAATTCAGCGTTGCGCTACATACTTTGGGACGTTTTGTAAATTTTGTGAATATTTAAAACACTCTGGTCCACATAAAGAGAGTTCCCACACATTGTCATTTTAAGAGGTTTATTCATATGGATGATGATTATAGAACTGCCAGTTAAGCAAGATTCTTATGGGTGGCTCTTAGATTTCTGTTTGAAATTTCATTCTTTTTTTAAAAACTGAGAATCCGATAGGTCATGGACTTTCCGCTCATCTACATGAATTCACAAGAGCAATGAGAGGGGATAGCTCCCCTAGGCTTAATTCTATCCAACAGGGAAGAATTGTTAGGTAACATGGCAGAAACCTGGGCAGAAAGTACCGTTTTCAAAATCTGAGAGGTCAAAGCAAAGGAAGGAAACCCTGGCCATTCTCAGTCTTATTCCCTAGAATTTAGTAAAGTGGTTTAAAAAAATTACAGAAAACTCAGTTATAATTTCAAAGTTACAGACCCAAGAAGAGAATATGACATAAGAGGAATGACAATTCTGAAAAGAAAAACAGTGGAGCACTAAAGAATCAGATATGATGACACCTTTGGACCATAGACCATGAAAGGCAGAGGCGTAGAGAGAGGGATACAGTCAAAGATGAATCCAGAAGAAATGGACAGTGTCAGGGAGGGCACATTTCAGGAGGAAGTGAGGTTTTGGGGCACAAAAGTGAGTACTAAAGTCAAATGGAAGTATGTGTGAGCAGCCTCTTTTGGAAGCAGAAAATTAGTAAGTAGTAAGCTCTAATAAACTTAGTAAAATGAATTGCTAATGGAAACCATGTTATGGAAACTGAGAAAACAGAACTACTTCATTTCTATTTCACTTCTCCTCGTTTTCTCCATCAAGGTGAATGAAAATATAAGTTGAAAGATTTAAGCAAATATAAATAGAAGGCAACTAAAATCCAGTGTATTTGAAGAAAGACTAAAACAACAGCTGTCCACTGCCACAAAAAGAGAAAGCTGGGGGTGTACTTTTTCCAATGAGCAGTACGGAAGCCCTTACTTTAGCAGCCCCAAAGCAACGGTTACAAAGCACTAGTTGAAGCCTTTAATTCTAAACTGCCTTATGTAGGGAAGATCGACAGACTTCTGCTCGCTCAGCAGAAACGCACGCCACTTTTCTTTTGTAGGTGAATACTCAAATCAGCTCCAGAGAAGGTTTTGGGGAATACCGGAACAATGACATCTGTTTGCAGAATAGTTAACCTCTGCAATTTCTGATACACACGAAACACCATTGCCTAATACTGCTCAACTCTTTGTGAACAGCCGTTCTGGTAGAGAGAAGGATAGACATGGTAGAGCATTTACCCATATAGAGTTATTTAGTATAATTTTGATCCCAAGGAATGACAGGTAGTTTTTGAGCTTTCCTTTGAAATGTTGGGACAAAGGCGTGGTAAATGGTCTGTATTGAACCATTTAAATTATTTTTTATATTGACAATCTCTTAGAATGAAACTGAGTAAACAGATACTTTCTTTACAGTTAATGTGTCTCAACTCCCTTTCCTAATCATAAGAACAAAGAAGTTGGTTAGAGCTGGAATAATTCAGAGTTGTCTAGCACAGGGAGTTTTGAAGCCATATCAGGGTAGTTTTCTTTTTACAATCGTGCCTCATAACGTTTACTAAAGCTGATAACTGACCTAACCCCTAGGACTCAGGAAGACAAATTTCCTGGTGTTTTTAAAAGAGCCTTTCAGAAAAAAGCAGTCTGTATCTTTGGAACTCTTTGAAGAATGTTTCAGAACTACATTCTACACCCTAGGGTTGAATAGATTCCCATTATGTGTAGGCTAGATTTCCTGGAAAGCAAACACACCAGCTTGAGAGGCTGAGATGCTTAGATATTTACTCAACCTAACCATTTTTATACTAGTGAAATTTTCCAATCCATTGCATTCTTGTACTCACATTATCTGCTTTCTTACTCACTGAGAGGCACTAACTGGAAGCCTGATTGTCTGGATTAGCAAATTCAGGCTATATCACACCACTTTTCTATGCACCATCCAGTTCATTTAGGATGGTCACGTTCTTCAAAAGGAAAACATCGAGTTTTCATCTTCATGCCATTAAATGGTAATCCATTGAATACCTAGGAGCTTTCCCCTTTGTATTTTTAGTAAAGAGAAAAACACTACTGATTTTTTAATGATTAATCTGTCCATCTTTTTACCATCTATGCCGTGGAAATGATTTTCTGGTGAGTGATCAGTTCTTATTTCAAATAGAATCTAAAGGTACACAGTAATAATTATGAGAGCAAGGGAAACAGAGATGGAATAATCTTGTGTCATCCTAAGACTTTAAAACTTTGTATTCTTACTGTCTGATGAGAAGCTTCACCATTGATTATGGAAACAAAATCATCAATAATGCTTGCACTGCTCCTGGGAGGCTATTATGGTCCTCTATATTGGTTGATTTGGGAGGTGGGGTGCATCTTTGGAGATTAGCTACCACAGAGGCCAGGAGGCTGCCTTCTCTGTTTGGTAGATTGTACCGGGAATCTTGGATAAGCGAAGAGGCAAGAATTACAAGCTGAGCTGGGGGAAATCTACATTAAAGACATTTTATAAATAATGTTTTTTAATTGGCTATCACAAAGCTCAGAGGAAGTTCCTGGGCATTGTTCTTTGTGTCTCTATTGCTTGTAGATTTGGGGACATAGTTGATGACACAATCATTTACTGCCATTGATTTTACTTTGGTTGTTATTAGGTGTGACAACTTGATGGCCGAGTGCCTTCCATCTAGGTTGTACTGTTCCACTTTATTGGGGAAGATGAGCAATATACTTTAGCGCATTTAAGTTTCTAAGAAACTCTTTAGGAACAAAACCTGTTCAGCTTTGTTTAATGTCAGATTTATTTGCTCACAGAGGCCATTTATGGAATAAATGTCTGAAATATTCTCTAGAAAACACTTAGGGAGCTGATAGAAATGTAAGGCTTCTCATGCTCATTAGAGCCTTATTGTAAAACCGTCTGAAGAAGTTTAGGTAACTATGAACTCTTGACACAGTAAATTTCAATTCCACTTGGCTTAAAAGACCTCTTTGTTGTAGTCAACTACCTTTTGCACTTATACCTCAATAATTTGATGCAGCTTTTCAGTGATACAGATGAATACTCCTCTATCATGGCAAATAAGAAAGTAAATATGACCCTCTACGTTGATGACAAGGTCCTGCTTTCATATTCCAAGCAGTAAATCTACCTCTATCTAGTGTTTTTCTGAAGACATCTTTATACTCAAGCCAAAATTATTTTGCAGTAAGATTATCTTCAGTAGGTAGAATGATGATACACTTCGTAGAGGTCAGCTCATTTAATTTATGAGATCTTTATCTCAGTGACCACATTGAAATTTGCTTTTTCAAAATTTTAGTTTTATGAGAGTCATATTAAGGTCTTGTTATGTTAGAAGACACTTCTAACTAGAAAAAAAAGGAGAGAGAGCAAAGTAATTATTTCCATTTTTGACCAGCTATCCCAAATACTGAATTCAGTCCTGATGATGCATTTTGAGAGTAACGTTGACAAACTAAGATGTAGATGTAAGATCTAGTCAGCATAAGGTTATATGATGATGTTGGTCTTAGAAATGCATCTTCATCGAAGGAATTGGAAAAGAAGAAAGGTATTTGGAAAGCAGTCATGGAAAGAGTACATATTTTATTGTTACTTCAGAGAACATTTCTAGAATCAATTCTTGGACATTGTGTAATACGAACTCACA